ACATTCCAATATCCTTAAGAAATTTAGATGTAATTGGGGATGGGAGAGTGAGAGCTGATGATGAAGGTTCATGAAACAATTAGCTGAAAATATTTAACTATAAATTTATATCTTGAAAAGGATGAATTGGAACTATGCTGATTTGTATACTAAATTTTGCCAATTTAAAATATATGTGAAGCAGGTTTCATTATACTGCTGAGACCTACTGGAGACGCCACGGTTAACTTAATAAAAGTAAGAGTCTAACTTCTGCTCTCATGCAAAACATACTTTGGTAGAAACAGATATTACTCAAATTACCCTACTAATGAATGCACATAAAACTGGAATGAATTTAAAATAATATTTTTGTTGTGTTTAAGACGTAAAGTGACCTAATAGTGGATGGTAGGCTCCTCAGGGCAAGAGACTTGTGCCAGACAGGAAGGACAGGCATATCTGTCCTTTGGGATGACCTATTATGCAGATCGCCCCCTCAATATTTCAGAAACAGGCTTCAAGATTAAGGAGTCTTTCCCACATCACAGGGCTGATAAGCACCTGGACTCTAATCCAGGACCCTCCCACCCCAGAGTCCTCACCTTCAACCATTTCATGATGCAAAATGTCCCTGCACTGCTGCAGAGGTTCTCAAAGGGCACCCCAGGATGCACATGTCAGCTTTACCCGGAAGATTGCCAGAAATGCTTGGTCTTTTCCTTCCTACCACAGCCCTGCTGGACTGGAAATTGGGTTTGGAGGGTGGGCAGTGACCTGTGCTCATCCTTCCAGAGGATATGGTGCAGCTGGGGGTAGAGCAATCACACCATGGTGTTTGAAGGGCCACAAAGAGTCAAGAAGATCACCCAGGTTTGTCTCCTGTGCTGACTGCCATCTCTGAACCTCCTCTCATCACAGGACTGAGTGAAGTTCTTCTTTCGGGACAGTTCTTCCCTCAGCATCTCACTGTGTTCTGTCTGAAAACAAACCTGCCTCTTTCCTAATATCACTGCTTCCTTGTAAAGTCCAAAGTACAAGGTTTTCTGGTAGAATGGGTGACCATGACCTTATAAAGATGCAGGAATTATAAAACAAGAGCAATAAAGAGTGCTGGGAGCCATTAGACAGAGGTGAGGCAAAGAACCTCACCCCCCCACTGGTGCATAGACCTATCCACAAGTATGGCTGTATGCTGGACCGGTAGTCAGTGACGGGTATGATTCAATTGCAGTGGTATCAACCTAAGACAGGAGGCTGACGCCTAAAGGTCAGTTTTCCGATGACGGGTAAGAACCATATGTTGAATTGGACAACCTACCAGGCACGGTACTTAAGCCACATTGCTTGTTGTTTAATTAATCAGAAGCGGGGAGATGCTGGGAGCCATTAGCCAAGTAGGTATGACAATTTCCTTGCCAGCGTACCCCATGTTGCTGACATGTTGCAGCGACATTGAATGTAGGTGACCTTGCTCAAGGACCAAGGCAGATTAGGGTGTTCCCGGTTTAAGATAATCGTGTTTAGGGCGTTCCCAGTTTAGGTTCCAGGTTTAAGGTTTAAGATTATTCCTCCTGGGAATAGGGCGTATCCTGCTGCCTGAGTTCCCCTTGAGTTCTCACGGGATTCAGACAGTATATTTTGGAGATAGAAGCCCAGTGGAGGTGGATTTGGGCAGAGAACGTGGATTTGGGCAGAGAACGTGGATTTCCCCAGAACGTGATTGTAGACGGCTGGTGTGAGTTTGGGAATAAAGAGTTGCTGTTTGAATCTACAAGCTGTGTGGTGGCTCGTGATTGTGTGCCCAGCCAGACTGCGGCATTTGTGCCCAGCCAGACTGCGGCAAAAGAGCCGGGTATAGTAGAGGCCTTTGAAAATTAAAGTAGAGCCACAATCTTGCTTTCAAGTCCTTCTCCCCAGGTTTACTAGAAGTTAGTAAGAAACAAGACCTACAAATGCAATTTACTTATAATTGCTACTATGTCAAGTATAAGAAACTGGCTGTTTTTATTTGAACCATAAAATATTACACAAAATTGAATTTACTCACGTTGGCTTCAGTTGAGCCAAGGAAAGTGTGGTAGTGAAGCTGCTTCTCTAAACTCCCCAATTGTGTGGCTTATAACAGGACACGCCCACCATACCCAGGTTGTTTCTCAGCACAGGACACTCCAACTAGTTTGCCCGTGCAGCAGTGGAAACTTCTACCAGCTGCTTATGGTAAACTTTCTTGGACTACTGCTAAATCCCACTTCATTTTCTTCCCTTCTTTTCAACCCTGAACACACGGGGCTTTCACTTTCTCAAATGCCATTCACCTGGACACTGTAGGTGCCTCCTCAGTCTACACTGTCCTCCTCTTGACCCCTTCCTTCGGGTCATGTCAGCTCCCCTGCAATCTAGGAGCCCTGCAGGATGCCCATAGGGCTGGCTTCTGTTTTAGGGGCAGGGCCAACCCTCTGGCTGAGTTAATCAGCACATTGTCATGCCTGATCAATCAAAACTAGATCAGTAAGAGGGGAGGCATGGCTTGCTAGAATTTTGAGGAAAGCACCTTCCTTGCTCTTCTGGGGAGCTTCTTAAGGAGACCTGTCTCTCCATATGCGTCTCAGGAAAAAGGCTGCACCAGGAAATGCTGGCAGTTCTATTTTAATACAGAAAATATACCAACTATAGTGGTCTAAGGGAGAGATGCAGGGACATGGACAGGTCCTCAGGATATTATTGAAATGCTCAAAACTTGCATAATCACTCCTTACCTGCTACAAGACCCAGTAAATCTCTTTTAGGGTTTAAGTCAATTTAAACTAAGTGTTTTTCTTTTTCTACCCCTAATACATGCAACATGCTATTGATCATTCCATTCATTTTACATAAGCTTCAGAAATGTTTTTACCCTATGAGCCAGCAATTCTTCTTCTGAGTGAGATGTAGAACAGCTTAAGCAGTCAGGGCAAAATGGCGAGCGAGGTGGTTGGAGGCAGGGTGAGAACACAGGAGCATGGAGGGGTCTTCTGATGAGGTCAGCTTCCTGCTTGACAGAGGTGCTCATGGACACAAGCAGGGGACCCAATCAGACAGATACTTCTGTACTTAGACTCCTAGGTGGGGTATCTCATAGAAAAACTGAAACAGACTTGGACAGAAGGAGCATCCATCAATAATAATGAGGAGCTCACGGACATGGGGGGAGGTAAGGAAAGGAGGAAATTTCGAAGACTAAAAAGAACAGGCTGCAACTCTCCCACCAGATTCTCAGCTCTGGCATCCTTTCTCTTTAGAAAAGTCTGTTTCTGTATCTCTGTTGCCTTTGCAATAAACATGCTTCTTGCTTGCTATCTCTGTGTCCTGTTCTTCAATTCTTTGCTGAATGGAGATAAAAAAATCAGCACCCCTAGATGGTAACTCTTCTACAAATTTATATTGAATACTTGAATAGAGAGAAGGATGGTTATGTATTATATAATATATATGCTATACATATATAATAATAATATATACAATAAATATACATTTATTGTATATATTATTTCCTGTAATCCTTAGAAGAGTGAAATAATCAAAATCATCTAAATTTACAATTTGTCATCAAAAAATTAGAATGAAGTAGCTACCAAATACCATCCAGTTCATGGAAAATGCAAATAAAATCAGTACAAATATCTACCATGAAAGCTGTTACCTGTACCTTGCTATGGAACATGTTTTATTAATCCATTGTTTTTTAAAAACTGTACATTTTGTTCTTTAAGAAGCAATAGCTTGCACACATTATTACACATATTCTCAATCCTGGTTACACAAGTAACCTAGGAAAAGCATTCTTAAAAACCCAGGAAAATGACATTGGGCTCTCTGGAGAAGCAGGACACATACATTGGTAAATGTCAAAGATTTTGAGTGATTCTAATGTGCAGGGAAGATGGAAAATCACAGTATCATTTCCTTTATCCTCAGGATAGTAGTAAGTATGATTTGTGTCACTGCCTTATATAGATGAGCACCCCTCAGACAGGCTTAGTTTCCTCCTGTAACATAGGATAGACTTCACCCCACCTAGGGCTTCTGACTAAAAATCCATCATGTTGACAGTTACATCATTTGTCTCCTAGGGTCAATATATAAGGAATTGAGGGGGAAAGAAAAATGAAAAAAAAATTGAAAGACATAAAAATACACTTATATCTCTGGATGGAGAGCTTACAAATAATTTAGTGTTTATTTCATATACATTTAAAAATGTTACATTAATAAATATGCCCCCCACCTTTCTTTCTAGTCTTCTGAGGAAATATAAGATATGCTTTCTTGAGACACTAAGCTATTAAAACAGAGCTTCACAATCGTCAATTACCACATCATATAATTTTCAGAATCATGGTTTTCATTGATTATCCACCTGACATGACCTTTGTATTTCTCCCATGTGTTTTATACAAGAAGCCAAATGCTCATATTCAAAGCTGGGGCTGGTGGGACCCAGGGCCTCCTCTCATCAGGACCACCCTCCTGGCAGACACCACCCCTGCCCCAGACCCCTAACTCCTGCCTGGCTCAGCACAGTGGCTTCATCTTGAGAGAGACCTTTCTTTCCAGGGAAAGCCCAGGGTAAAAATGCTTGAAAGCCACTGATCTGAAGCAAGTCCTGCAGGTCTGGTGAGAAGACAGCAGCTCACACAGCAGAGCAGCTTCCAGAGGACAGTGCCCTGGGGACCAGGAGAGAACCCTGACCCTCCTCCAGGAGAGCAGGCACCAAGTGCTACAGCAGGGACCTTAAACCTGGTGTTTAAGGACACTTGTCAATCTTGTACTTCTGAACCTCTGAAGACTGACTTGAGTTCTCCAGGCTGCTCCTTCCTGGAGGCTCTAGGAAAGAAGCCGTGGCCCTGTCTTTCCCAGCTTCTCAGGGCTGACTGCCCTTCTCTGTGCATGGCCCCCTCCTCATCATCTCTATTCAGCACAAGCAACCTTAGAGTGAGCCCTTTCCAAGCCGCCATCTCTTTGATTTTTTTCTTCCAAAGTGATGGCTCCCTCTGACTTGAGCGAGGAAAGTTTTTCCACTTTTGAGGACTTGGGTGATGAGCGTGGGCTCACTCAGGTAAGCCACAGCAATCCTCCCTTCTTGAAGTCCTTCATTTAATCATCTGAAAAATCCTTTTGCTGTGTAAGTAATATTCACAAATTCTGGGAATTAGGACATGTGCCCATGTGAGGGGACAGGGATTTATTCTGCCCACCAGCGTGAGTGTCAATACTTTCTCTTGTCCTTGCACAACTGAGAGACAAAACACACTCATTCACACCAACATGCTAAAGGATGACAACGAAGTATAGAAATGCACACCTGTCAGAGTTCTCAGAGTTGAGGGGAAGGAGAGAACCCAGCTTTCAAACACGTTCTGGAGTGGGATAGCTGGGTCAAATGATGGTTCCATTCCAAGTTTTCTGAGGAATCTCCATATTGCTTTCCAGAGTGGTGGCACCAGTTTTCAGTCCCACCAGCAATGTATGAGTGTGCCTCTCCCCCCACATCCTTACTGTTGCTTATATTCTTGATAATTGTTATTCTGTCTGAACTGAGATGAAATCTTAGTTTTGATTTGTATTTCTCTAAATGTATTTGTATTTCTCTAATTGCTAGAGATGATGAACACTTTTTCATATGTTTTTTGATCCATTGTATTTCTTCTTCCGAGTGTCTGTTCAGTTCCTTGACTCATTTATTGTTTGGTTATTTGTTTTTTGTTTTTTGATTTTTGTTTTTTTAATTGATGTTAAGTTTTTTGAGTTCTTTATATATCCTGGAGATTAATACTCTATCTGAGGTGCATGTGGTAAAGATTTTCTTCCATTCTGTAGTCTCTCTCTTCACATTATTGTCTCCTTTGCTAGGAAGCTTTTTAGTGTAAATCTGTTGCATTTATTGATTCTTGGTTTTACTTCTTGTGCTTTAGAAGTCTTGTTTAGGAAGTCATTTCCTAAGCTGACATGATGGAGATTTGGGCCTATTTTTATTTCTCTTAGGCACAGGGTCTCTGTTCTGGTGCCCAAGTCTTTGATCCACTTTTGAGTTCATTTTTTTGCAAGGTAAGAGATTGAAGTTTGATTGCATTTTCCTACACAGGGATTTCCAGTTTTCCTAGCACCATTTGTTGAAGATGCCATATTTTCTCCAATGTGTATTTTTGGTGCCTTTGTCTAGTATGAGGTAAACATATTTATGTGGTGTCTGTGTCTTCTATTTTATACCAGAAGGTTTAGATGAAAGTGCCAACAGGGGGAACCCGTGACTCCAAACCTGCAGATTCAGATAAAAGTAAAAATGCCCTGGATGTTTTCACACACCACTCCCTTCCTGATGGAATCTGTCTTGTGAAGAGGAGGGTTGCAGGAATAGGCACAGTGTTAACTCCTCAGGTGGGCTGCGAAGTCCTGCTCTCAGAACACACAGAAAATCCAAGGGGAGATGAGAAAGAATTTGGGGGCAGCAGCTATAGGATGAGCAGGAAGTTGCTGTCATATGGGACTAAGGAATCTTAGAGCCACAGCACAAGGTGAGAACAAAAGCCACAGATCTCAGGCCCCACACAAAAGCAAGAAATAAAGTAAGTTTCTCAGGGGAAAGAGTGAGTAAGTGGAAGACCTGGAATAAAGATCCAGAAGTCCCAACTCCTGTCCTCCCTGTCTCCATACTGTATCTCATTTCCTTTGATATAAATACTCCATGGAATCCTTGGAATGGGAGCTATTGCACTGAACTGAGAACAGACTTACAAGTTGACCATGGGCTTTCTGTCCTGCTGAGAAGAGAGCAATTCCAAAAGGAGAGAGAGAGACCTGCCTCTCATTTAATAAAGAGCATTTTGACAGAAAGGCCCTTACTAGGCTGGTTCCCTCCTCATGGAGCCTAAAACTAACTCTGGGCTTCTCTTATTAGGGGACAAAAATGTGCAGCCCCTGCCCACTCTCCTCCTCATGCATATGAAGAAAAGGCTACAAAGTTATCAGGTTAGGCTGAGCTATAAGAAGTTTGATGAAAATGTAAATGTTATTTTGAAGCATTCAAACCAAACTGCCAGGTGCAGAATATAAAATGAGTACTCATGAGTCAATTGTGCTCCTAACATCAGTGATGAATCAACTGCAGGAGACATTAGGAAAACTTCCCCATTCACAATAGCCTCAAAATTTTTTTTTTGAGAATCAATCTAACAAAAGAGGTGAAAGATCTCTACAGTGAAAACTACAGAACACTGAAGAAAGAAATTGAGGAAGACTATCAGATCATAAGGAATAAAACTAGAAATCAACAATTACCGCCCACGATGGACTTGGGGACCCCCTAGGTGGTATGGGCTGGCTGAGAAATAAAAGCTAGGAAAAACAGAATGGCAAAATAATCACAGAACACAGAAAATAGTTTCAAAACTGAGACACAAAGGGGAAGCATACCTAGGTGTGTCTAGCTTCTAACAAAGCAAGCAGCCCACATTTTCTTTATTTATATTGCAAAATATCAAAGGCTTTCCATATAAAGTTCTTCACCAAAATAGGATAAAGGTCGGGGCAGGTAGGTGCTCAGTTCCTAATGGGTTATGCCCATCTCTGGTACTGCTGCAAGGACCTTTCTAGCAGAGCAGACAGGTGGTCTGTTTCAGTGGGAGTGTCTCAGGAAGTTCCCAATGACAGAATATCTCTTCCCTGGCTGTGATGCCAAGAAAAGGTCCTCACACATTTCACAGATGGCTTCCTGCAAACAATAAAATAAAAAAATAAAAGCCACTCTAATACCTGGAGACTAAATAACATGCTATTGAATGACTAATGGATAGCAGAAGAAATCAGGGATGAAATTTTAAAAAATAATAATTTGAAGTAAATGAGAATAGCAACACAACGTATCAAAACCTCTGGGACAGTCTGAAGGCAGTGTGAAGAGGAAAGTTCACTGCATTGAACTCATTTATTAAAACAATAGAAAGTCAGCAAATAAATAACCTAACATTACATCTCAAAGCCCTAGAAGAAAGAACAAATTACCACTAAAAGCAAAGGACAGGAAATAATTAAAATCTGAGCTAAAAATCAATGAAATTGAAACAAAACAATTTAAAAAAATTGACCAAAGAAAAAGTGGGTTCTTTGAAAAAAAAAATAAATAAAATTCATAAATCCTTAGCCACGTTAACAAAGAGGAAGAGAGAGACAACTGAAATTATGAAAATTTGTGATGAAAAAGGAAGTATCATGAAAGACACTACTAAAATACAGAAGATAATGAGAAACTATTTTAAAAATTTATATGCCAATGAAATACAAAATCTTGAAGACATCAACAAATTTCGGGAGACATATGACCTACCCAAAGTGAATCAGGAGGAAATATACAATTTAAACAGATCAATTTCAAGCAATGAAATAGAAGACACCATCAAAAGCCTACCAACCCAGGAACAGACAAATACTCAGTTGAGTTCTACATGATCTTCAAAGAAGAATTAACACCAATACTCTTCAAATTATGTCATGAAATATAAAAGGAGGGAACCCTTCCAAACTCATTCTATAAAACTAGTATTACCCTGAAACCAAAATCAGACAAAGACACATTAAGGAAAGAAAAGGTCAGGACAATATCCCTGATGAACATAGATGCAAAATGTCTCAATAACCTTCTGGCAAATCACATTCAAAAATACATTAAAAAGATAGTGCACCATGATCAAGTTGGCTCATCCCAGGGATACAAGGTTGGTTCAAAATATGGAAATCAATAAACATAATTCATCATGTCAATAGATTTAAAGACAAAGAATAATGATTATCTAAATAGATGCAAAAAAAAAGCATTTGACTAAAAACAGCATCCATTCATCTTCAAAAGAAAGAAAAAACTAGGGATAATAGGAACATACCGCAACATTGTAAAAGCTATCTATGCTAAGCCCAAAGCCAACATCATTCTAAATGGAGAAAAAAATGAAAGCATTCCCTCAAAAATGGGAACAAGGGTGTTCTCTTTTACCACTTCTATTCAAGATAGTCCTGAAAATTCTAGCCAGAGCAGTTAGACAGAAGAAAGAAATTAAAGAGAAAGGAATAGGAAAAGAAGAACTCAAACTATCACTATTTGCAGACAATGACATAATTCTATAATTAGGAGACCCAAAAAAATCCCACCAGGAGACTTCCAGAACTCATAAATGATTTCAGAAAAGTAGCAGGATATCAAATTAACACCATAAACCAAATATGTTCCTATGCATCAGTGATCAATCTACTGAAAGGAAAATTAGGAAAGCTACCCTATTTAAAAGAACCTCAAATAAAAAATAAAATTTGGGGGAGTAAATCTGATAAAATCGGTAAAAGAACATTATGATGAGAACTGCAGAACTCTAAAAAAAAGAACTTAGAAGATGAAAAAATGTCCCATGTTCTTGGATAGGCAGGATTAACATTGTCAAAATAGCCATTCTACCAAAAGCTTTATACAGATTTAATGCAATTCCCACTAAAACCCAAAAGGAAATCATTATAGAAATTTAAAAAAGCTCTCATGAAATTCATTTGGAAAAATATAGAACCAAAATAGTCAAAGCAATCCTTAGCAAGAAAAGTGAAGCAGGAGGCATCAAAGTGCCCAAACTTAAACTATACTAAGGCAATGGTAACAAAAACAGCATGGTATTAGGACTAAAACAGACATGTAGACCAATGGTATAAAATAGAAGACAGAAAAAAAAATAGAAGACACAGAGACAAACTCACATAAATACAGTTATCTCAAACTAGACAAAGACTCCAAAAACATACATTGGAGAAAATACAGCCTCTTCAACAAATGGTGCTGGGAAAACTAGAAATCCATACACAGCAAAATGAAATTAAACCCCTATCTCTCACCCTGCACAAATGTCAACTTCAAGTGGATAAAGGACCTTGGCATTAGAACAGAGATCCTGTGCCTAATAGAAGAAAAAGTAAGCCCAAATATACATCGTGTCAGCTTAGAAACTGACTTTCTCAACAAGACTCCTAAAGTGCAAGAAGTAAAGTAAAAAATCAATGAATGGGATAAAACCAAACTAAATGTTT